TCATAACTTTTACTCGAGCTGCAAACAAGACGGAGCTTAAATGTATTAATTGAATCCAAATTACAAATGTTTGCAACCAAAAAGTCCTGTTCCCGTCAATATATGAGCTGGTCAAAATCAAAATTGAACGTATTTAGACAGGGAAACGGAGCGAGTGCCGTTCTTTTCTTTGAAACTGTCAAACCCGTCAGATTAGCCCGAATGCCGTTTGACTCCCCAGAGCGTAGAATGATTCAGGGAAGGGGTTAGTGGAAGGGGTGTAGTGGGCAGCATGTAACGGAGACCGGGTACAGTTTCTTAACTGGGCTACCCTAATATCGATTGAAAATTAATACGATTTGATAAGTAACCTTTATTCAGTTTTTTCTTAATCAGCAAATTTGGTTAGGTTAGGTTATAACAGTTTCATTTTATCCTCTAAACAAATTTTGCTCATCCCCCCTGGTCGATCTTTCCACCCACATACCCGCCGCACCGTGGAACCGGTCACTGATACCTCAGGCACTCGCCCCGCCAAGCCTCAGGCTGTAATAATCCTCGTCAAAGTGTCTAGGCAAACGGCACTCGGCCCTGCACTCATTTAGACAGGCTTATTTGCAGTGTTTACGCCATCACACACAATGCTATCTTAAAACGCGACAATCGACCAAGGTGTTGTAAGTCGTCTATTAATATTGTCGAAAAGATTATCTCTGTTTGTTCTCCTATTCCATACAGGCCTGTGAAGATAAATGGCTGTAGAAGGAAAAGTCAGCAAATGGAGCTAAAAGAGAAATCTCACTCCAGTAGGTTGCCATTGTTGTTTCAGCTTTGAGGGGAACGGGGAAGGCCGTGCAACAATAGAGCGAATCTGTGACAAGTGACAAGGGTGATGACCGCGGTCTTGTCACGTCTGATAATTGCCGTGACAAAGTGACACAAGTCAGCTGATTAGCAATATGTCACTAAACCGGGACAAGAAATATGAATCGTTCACTAGATACATGCAATGTAGATTGGAATGAGGTGGTTTAACTGCCCCGCTATCTTGGGAGCGAGCTGGGCTGGTTTGGGGGCTTTGGATCCCGAGGTCTCGGGTTCGAATCCCGCCAATTACCAATGGAATATATCTATATGGTAATGCCGTGATATTCTACGATTACGAATAGTTTAATTAAAGTAAAGTGTAAAAACTGTTCCGGGGTAGAACCTAGCGTCCTATGTCCTATGTATATCTATGGTGTATGGTGTCCTATGGTGTAAATAACTCGGTGGAACAAATAAAACTGTCCCGCTATATTGGATGATATTGTCTTGTTCTTGCAATAGATTACGATGACCGATATATTTTCCTAATTACTGTAGCAGTCAAGATTTTTTTATGACTTTTCCTTAAAAGGAGTAAGCTATTACCGTAAGCTTCCTATAAAAAGGTAATCATTTTCGTTTTGATGCCCTCAGAGGCCAATAACATGTCCGTTATAGGCGTTTTACGGTAAAAACGTGTAAATCTACATTTTTTCGCACGAGTTCGCCAACCACCATGATCGGACTTATGGGAACTGGGTTTTATGCGGAAAAAATGGGGGTTTCCCATTTTTGACTAACTATTTGCTAAAACTAGATCTATATGGGTTAATACAAAATCTGTAGACCCCCTGTCAATTTTTTAACGACCCATACTATTAATTAATTTAATTTATTTATTTTACATTTCAACGGACATTTTTACAGTTTTGAACAATATGAATGAACCTAAGACACTGACGAACATGCATAAATGTATAAACCAAATTAAAATGTGCGTGAGGTATAGATGGCAATGACAAATGACAAATGAATTTTAGTGCGTGCAGTTGATGATAAATTTAGTAATGTGTAAATTGTGGGGTTCCCTTCTGCCCTTTTCTTTAGTTTTTTTATTTTTTTATTTTTTGTTTTTTACTAGAAAAAGTAAACTCTTATGGCATGTTATGAAGTACTTTTTGGAAATAACCGCCACTTCGTGTACATCCCTCAAAATGGGGGATTTTGGGGAAAACTCAAAAATTTGAAATGTGAAGCCCCATTGAGTGACCTCTCATTTTGAAGGTCGTGTTAAAATAAAACTAACAACGCAAACTAAAGGTCTCAATTTTGACTCACTAAAATATGGTTTCAATCCTTACAAACAAACATACAACCTCGTTTAATGTCTGTGAAGTTGTCGTTAGCAAATAATATCGTTCGATGTCGGCGGGATAACGGTAAATGTTCGTCCAATGTATTAGGTATTATTCTTACGAACATTCAATTGATTGTTCGACGACACGAAGTGTTCAGAGGGTGATAGCCCAACTCCGCGCGGTGGTCAAATTTAAGCCGAGGAAAAGTTTTATGGCCCCCGAAGGGTCCAGTCCAACTCCGCGCGGTGGCCACATCTAATCTCTACGCTACCTTGTTGTGCTTTCGGATGAGATATGATGTGTTTAATATAAGATACAAATAAATAAGATACAGGTATATATATACCTTGTGTCCCCAAAGTAGTGTTACACTTTTATTTGTTCATAACTACTTTATTCATGTGACAGGTTAGGTTAGGTTAGGTTAATGATAGGTAAATTCAAATGAAACATAAGTATTCTAATTTGTACTAATTAACTTTATGTTATTAGTTACTGTGGTTTCATACAGTTCTAAATAATGTTCATTTTTATAACAATTTCAAACTTCAAATACAACCTCACACCCGTCAGGGCTGTGAGAGCCAAAATTGACCACCGCGCGGAGTTGGACATGTGCCGCGAGGGACCCGAAGTGACCACCGCGCGGAGTTCGATAGTCGGGTTTGTCATATTTCTGACCACCGCGCGGAGTTGGGAAAGCCCGTTCAGAGACAAAGTAAGTTTATTTATTTGATTTATTTCAAGGGTTACATCTTATCTTATCTTATCTGACAGGGGCAGGTCGAGACCTTAAAGCACTTCATCCGAAATCGAATTATTGCGCACCCCAGATACTTAATTGCTTTCTTGTTGACCTACAAGTTGAGGCGCCCAATGAATGCCTGTAGCTTCCCAATTAGTTCATCCTCAGGAAGAAATCTACCTCTAGCCATATTTCCAAGAGTTATCGATCTAGCGTCAGAGAGCTCAATACAATCAAAGAGTAAGTGATCAGCTGTCTCTTCTGACCTATCACAGTACCTACAGATCGGTTCACCATCATATAAGCCCATCCGTTGTAGATGTTTCCTGAATCTTCCATGACCAGTTATCAGTTCAACAATTAATTTAATTCTTCGTCTGTCTAGTCTCAAGAGGTCACAGGCAACCTTTTTGGAAGGCCTAAACAGAGTAAGCTTGCTGACCCTAAGAAGGGGAACATCGACCCAGCGTTTGCGATGCTTTTCCTTGGCCCATGACGCAATCGCAGAACAAACACTGTTTCGTGAGATGCCACAGAAGGGTTGCGGGCCTAACAATGATGTCGCAGAGGCAGTATTTGCCAATCTGTCTGCAGCTTCATTTCCTTCAATGCCTGAGTGTCCTGGTACCCAGCAAAGCGTAAGGTCATTTCTCCTACCCAACTCAGACACAGAAGCAAGACAATCCCACACGAGCCTGGAGTTGAATTCGTAAGAGTTTAATGCTTTTAAGGTCGCTTGACTATCAGTAAAGATATTGATTGTTTTGTCTCTGATATCTTTGTTAAGATGTTCTTGAGCACAAACTAGAATGGCAGTGACCTCCGCTTGAAAGACAGTTGGGTACACCCCCATTGGAAGACAAATACCAGTGCCTCCATTCATCCAATGCACACCTGCTCCAGTGCCCCCATTTTTGATCTTAGAACCATCAGTATAGCATTCTAAGTCACCTGTGGGTATGGGTCCTTTTCCGCCAGACCAATCCTTCCTATCTGGTATTAGTACTTTGAAAGGCTTTCCAAAGGAGTATTTTTTGGACATGTGATCTGAAGGTAAGTCCAATTCATCATTATGTACCACCTGAACAATTTTAGAGTGCCCTTTATTGTTCCCTGAGGCTATCCATAAGTTTTCGCATCTAAGGCGATGGGCTGTTTTACTTGCTACCACCTTAATATAAATGTCAATAGGTAGCATGTCAAGCAGACAGTCAAGTGCCGCTCCAGGACAGCTACTTACTGCCCCAGTTATCATAATAAGAGCAAGCCTCTGAACTCCTGCTAAAGCTTTGACAGCTATAGTTGATTCCATCTTTGGCCACCACACAAGCGAACCATATGTAAGGGCGGGTCGAACAACAGATACATACAGCCAGTGCATAAGTTTAGGCTGTAACCCCCATGTGCCACTTACCATCCGCCTGCATGCCATAAGGGACCATTTGCCACGCTCAATGACTTTTTGAAGGTGTGGTCCCCAGTGAAGTGATCTGTCCAAAATTACACCAAGATACTTCACCTGATTCTGCAGCTCTATTACAGTACCCTGCAGTCTTAGTGGGCCGATCCCGTCCAGTTTCCTCCTTCTTGTGAAGGGTACCATTACAACTTTCCTGGGATTTATAGAGAGCCCAACATCCTGGCACCAACGGTCCACTACCCTTAAAGCTCTATTCATAAGGTCAGTTATGGTTCCGTGGAACTTTCCAACCACAAGGATTGCAACATCATCAGCATAACCTAAGGCGAAAACCCCACTTTCGTTGAGGGTCCTTATAAGGTCGTCTGCTACCAAATTCCAAAGTAGAGGAGAAAGAACCCCCCCCTGAGGACATCCTCGAGTAGTTCTTGCCTCGATCGTATCATTGTGGAGTGAGAGCCTAACCTTCCTACTGAGAAGCAAGGATTCAATCCATCTACATTCAAGGGTTACATCAATGCAATGTGATCCATCTTCCCTGAGACATTTTATAAGCAATACTTTAGGCCTCGTCCTAGCTGAACGGCAAGAGCAGCGCGACCGAAAACAGCGACAGATACAAACACATGGTTCAACCAGGGGTGATTTACAAACGAGGGTGGTTAGCCCATCACCTCAACCCCCAATATGAATGGAGGACCGCACCTACTTCTGGTCAGCGGGTCCATCGGACCTAGCCGGGAGGACTGACAAGCAGATCCACCGACCTTCCCCCTATCCGCCACCCAGGGGACGCTCCGTATACGCTGAAGTAGGAAAGCGCACGGATACTTTATTACAAGATACATAAAATACTAACACTAGGTACAAAGATACAATACTAGATACTATAACTAACAAGTTGGTTCTAACTCATACTGTTCCATCTTCTTCTGGACTTGTACTTCAACGTCCACGTGTTTTCAATCGGCTCACAGTGTTGTTGCAGAACTCTTCAGTTTCTTCCTCTTGAAGTTTCTCCTCAGGAATTCAATCTCCTCATGAATGGTCGCATTCTTCTCCTACATTTCATCATGTTTCTTAAACAGTTTTCCATGGCGATTCCTCTGGCACGTTACTCTTTCATTGTTTCAACTCTATGGATACTTTTTGCTTTACTGAAGCAATACAGCACAACATCAGGCCTCCAAGTAGTTCTATAACATACCATTTTCCCCAGGAGTTGCTGCTTGGTTGTTTACTATTGTGACTCTCTACTAGTTCCTACAGTACCCTCTGGAATGGGGCAAATATACTTTACTTTCTTGAATCTGTTGTCTTCCTCTAAATAATTTTGACAGGAGGAGACATTTTTCATCTTGCGAGTATTTTCTGTGTCAAGGAATTAATTAAATAAATAGTTTCTATGGAAACATATTTACTGTCATTGTTCAAGATCCTATACCCGGGAGGACTCGCATGCTGTTCTAAAAGACAGAGTTGGTAATAATTTTAGTAAAACTTGTATTTAACGGGCCTCGGTGGTGTTCATCAGTTCATCGCCACCGTACCTCACACAAATCTTCCTAGGAACAGCATGAATCATTTCCCACACACCTTCTTGTAGATTTAGTGTATTTTATTTTCGCGAAAAGGACTGGTCAGCTCGACTCGACCGTGTGTGAGTGACGGAGTAGTAGATTGTATACATGTCCTACAATCTACTATTATGCATTTCTTGAAAATAATAAAGGTACAAACTAAAAATCCCCGTCTTCAATGTAGACAATAGACATAGCAAACATTAAATGTAACACTTCTTATGCTAAGACAAATTTAGGCTACATTTATTGAGTATTTTCAAGAAATGCATAATAGTCGATTGTAGGAAATTTTATTCTTTTCGGAATATTACCTTCCACTTTGGTCGATTTACTCACCATTTAAAAGTTATTTGCAAAAAACGCGTCAAGCAACCTCCAAATTTCTAGTGGTGAAAAAACTTTGTACAATCCTATCCTATACTCTAATATGAGCAATGTTTGCTTGTATGTATGTATGCTTGCTTGCACAAAGATCTCGAAAACGGCTCCGACGATTTTCTTCAAATTTTGTAAATAGTTTATTTCTGGCCTAAAAACGAGTTTACTGAAGTTAGACTTGCCAACAAAAATCTAATTACGTAGAAAAATGGAACTGAAAGTCACATTTTTTTAACATTAGGCTTATGGGTTGCTAAGTAACCATGTTGGTTGAATTAAATAACAAGGAAAAGGTAAACAAAAGACTTGAAGTTGTAGCATGTGTTCATAATAAGCCAACTACCCACAGTATACTAGCAAATTACAAATACAGTACAAAAGGGAAAAACATCAGTTGTTACTATTAAGCAAAGATTATACTGAAGATTACTCGATGCATTGTTTGTAGCTAGCAGTGTGGAGTGTAGAAAGCGTCTGCGGCATTTGGATAGTAGGAACAGCTGAAGCCAATTTTATTGTTAGTTCTGTCCGATTTTCTGTAGATGTCGTGTTTTGTTTACAATTTGTCTCCATTATTTTAGGGTTTGTTTCTCATTATTTGTGTCTCACTGTTTGGTTATAGCGCATACTTCAGTAACTCTAGAACGGTAAAAAGTGTATTATATACATTTAGACTATATCACTATTCTTATTGTGGCCAACTCAACTTAGTTTAAAATCTAGAGTCGACTCAATCCGATTGGATTGTATTATGTCATTATGCATTATGGCAAAACTAATACTGAAATAAAAATTATGCATTTTGCACATGTGGTTAAAAGTCACATGTTTCTGATTAAAGTATCAACAATAGAATTTTGTTTGTAAACATCTTGCCTCAAGAAATTCGTTACTAGATGGAAATGTACTCAACAAAAAATCTGAAATCATGAAAAGAGGACGACCACCAAATAAAAGTTTGAAAAAGTTGGGGAATTTCTGTAAAAGTCACAAAAAAGCTGATGAAGACCAGGTAAGTTAAAAAATATACCTTTATTAATTTAATTACATACATTAAATGTGTGTGGTATGTCATTACTAGCTTACACCACGAATACAGAAATTGGAAGTTACTTATTTTATATTTCTCTATAGCTCATTGTGTGAGGTACGTTAAAAAGTTAGATGACAATTTTCATGATAACATTCTTATTTATTTAATTACAAAGCTAATGGACACCCGTTTTGCCTAAACGTTATAGAGTCCCAACTAGAAGAAGATGTGAGTTTTTTACACTTTTGTAAACATCACTAACATTGAAATAGTTATGGGTCTCTCACAAGACAAAGAAAACGTCTTGTGTGCGTGTGGTGTTGTTCAGGATCCCAGCCATCTACTGATGTCCACGACTAGACCAGTCTTGCACATTAGATGATCTTTTACAAGCGAATGACAAAGCCATATTGGTATAGCTAATTTCTGGAAAATCAAAGTCTGATTTCCGGACACGGAATGTAAGTAAGTAGCATGTGGAGGTAGAGGTAGGCTATGTGGTTAGTTACCATTTTTTACGACCTTTTGAAAGGAGCTTAAATTTACTTTCTTTGATAAAACTTTTTTTTAATTTCAGGCTGCAAAAGAACCTGAACCTGTTCCTGAAACTGAAGGACCTGAGGGGTCTGTTGTATGTGTCTCAGAAGTTCAATCTGAACAAAATGTGAGTTTTTATTATCATCTGAACCGTATTATTAATGTAAAATTATTCAAAACAATTAATTTATTTTGTTTATAAATCTTATTTTGTGATAAATTAATAATACTTAGGTACAAAGAAAATTACCTTTTCAACAAGCATAAAAGTCAAATAAGTATTTAAATTTCAGGTCACAAACGGAGTGCGCGTGTTAAATGATCAATCAGATGAAAATGTGAGTATGAGTAACTATACCTGAACCGCATTGCTAACGGTACTAGTAAATAATTTTAAAAAGTTGATTCGTTCTTTTTGTGGTTAATTCAAACAAAAAAAAGACCGCAATAGAAAAGATAACGTTTGCCCAAAGTAACCATTAATGGTGGTGAATAGGAGAAGAGGATACTTATATAGTTTCATGAATCTATACTGTTGCTAGTAAACAAATAGACCTACTGTTATTGTTTGTTGAAATTGTTATACATTTATTATTATTTTCCATAACGATAAGTTATTCTGATTCTGGTATTGGAGTATGCCGAGTAAGATATAACGCACCAAGTGTAGATAGGAATATATTCTAAAATTGGCCAGGTGATACTTAAATTTTTACTCTCAGTAGACTAGGATTACAAATGTTGCAGTATTACAAATTAACACAACCTTAATACAGATTTTTTATTTGTACAGCTGGTGACTTTCAATAAACCCATTAGATGTGCGAAGATAAGGGCTCTGGAGATAATTTCAGATGTAAGTGCTCAAATATGTCAGTCTATGGTGGAAGAAAGGGTAAATTATTTTGAGCAAATAAGAATATCAGAAGACAGCCAGGTTCGTGCCATTCGCCTTGAGGAACAGCGACAAAGAGACGCCAACCGCAGGGCTGCCGAGGAGGAGGACAAACGAGCACGACGCCTCGAAGAACAGCGGCAAAGAGACGTCAACCGCAGGGCTGCTGAGGAGGAGGACAAACGAGCACGACGCCTCGAAGAACAGCGGCAAAGAGACGCCAACCGCAGGGCTGCCGAGGAGGAGGACAAACGAGCACGACGCCTCGAAGAACAGCGGCAAAGAGATGTCAACCGCAGGGCTGCCGAGGAGGAGGACAAGCAAGCACGACGCCTGAAAGAACTGCGGCAAGCAGCCGCTATCCGCAGAGCCGCCGAAGACGAAGACGAGCGTGTTCGACGTCTGAAAGAACTGCGGCAAGCAGCCGCTATCCGCAGAGCCGCCGAGGACGAAGACGAGCGTGTTCGACGTCTGGAAGAACTGCGGCAAGCAGCCGCTATACGCAGAGCCTCCGAGAACGAAGACGAGCGTGTTCGACGTCTTGAAGAACAGAGGCAAATAGATGCCAACCGCAGGGATGCTGAAGTGGCTGACGAGCGTGCTCAACGCCTTCTAGAACAGCGTCGTCGTACAGCTGAAATTCGACAGAATTCTCAGCGTAGTCGACTTCCAACCTATAAAGCCGCTGCCTCAAGTCTCGTAGAGTACAGCAATTTGGGAATGTATGACATTGCATGTGTTCATTGTGGTGCTGTTCATTTTTTGAAAGAGAGAGTGCAGAACAGAATTCACCCTAATTCGTTTGGTGACTGTTGCCTTCATGGTCGCATTGAACAAGCTGCGCCAGAGTTTCCCAATGAATTGGCATTGCTGTACACAAAACAACACAGACTAGCCAAACAGTTCCACGATAAAATTCGAAATATTTCTGCCTGTTTTGCTTTTTCTTCATTCAATGTTGCTGATGACAGGACTTTCAATAGTAAAGGTATTTATACATTTACTGCTGGTGGACAAGTGTATCACAAGTTAAATTTGGCGGCTCAGCCAGTCAGCAACAGTGAGGGTGATTTGGAAAGACCTAGATATGGCCAAATGTACTTCATTGACCCGGAAACAGCCGTTGCAGAACGTATGAATGAACCAAGGCATCAATCAAGAACTAATACAGATTTTAGAGGAGGTCATGAGAAGTCAAAACCCATTTTCACAGGCTTTTATGATGATGAGAGAGATAGTTGAGGAAAACAATCAACGTGCTGCAGCTCTTGGTGTCCAACCACCCCATGTCCACCTCCTGTTTGCTGAACGTGCAGGTAAAATAATACTGTTTTCTCTAGTCACAATTATTTTGTATGTTATTTGTAGTTGCTAAAAAAATATAAAATCAGAAATACAAAATAAACAGTAACTAAACATAAAAACTTATGCAAACTTATCAAGTAAGATGTCTCGTGTTACTCCTCCATAAATGTGATAACTCTGAAGGGAAATTTAATTAAAGGGCGCCACAACTAAACGTTTTGTTGCAATCTCAGTACTAAACTCTGAAAAATTCCACATAAGCATAAGCAAACAAGCCGTAGCCATTTTTATTTCCTTTCTCTTCTCTTCTCCGTAGCTATTCTATATTACATGTAAGAATGACTACAACAGACTGTTAAAATAATAAAAACAAAACTTGGTAATCTCTGCTCTTTCAGATGGCACCAGTTTAATTTGTCTACGATCATTAATAAAGTAGCTTTGAACAATTAAGAGTGCGGCATTAATTTTGGGACATACCAAACTTTGTTATTAAGCGTAACGCAATTTATAAACTTGACATTTTTCTGAATGAGGTTTTTATAATTAATAATTGCATCAAAACAACTTTATTGAAAAGAGGATTTTAGTACATTTGTATTTTTGAAGAGTCGTCAAATACTATTATTCATTTACTGGATTAAACGAACACTCTACAATTAATTCAGTCTTTTTTTATTTTTATAAATGAATAATCTTTAAACTTTAGCAAGACTATACGGGTATGTTTCAAAAGTAAAGTTATGTATGAGAAAAATATGGAATGTACCTACATTTTGTGTCATTTTTCTCTTAGAACTAAATAATGATTAAAGTTAAGATTTTTTGTTTTTCATATCATTAATTTATGATGTTTACTTTTAGGTGATGATCCCAGGCGATTCAACTCACCAACTTATAATGAAGTTGCTGCTGTAATTACATTAAATGCAGACCAAAGCATCCCGGAAAATGAGATGGTTATTAAGGAGCGAGGAAAACAGTTAATAACGCTCAAGAACATTGACAGCCGAGTAGAACCATTCACCTACCCACTCCTCTACCCAAAAGGAACTTTTGGGTTTACTGTAGGGCTTCCTCTTAAAACGCCTTATGCAAGCCGTGCACACATGACGAGGATGGAGTTGGCTCAATACAGGTTAGCCTTTCGTCCAGAACAAGCCAAGGCTCTTCCTCCTGAACCATTGCTAGAGGGATTAGATCTAAGGTCGATTGGATTTAATGCTCTCCACTTTGGTGGTAGACTGTTTCAACAGTACGTCGTGGACACATACATCCGTGTTGAACGTGATCGTATTCAGTGGATCAAATATAACCAAAAGAAACTTCAAGCTGATCGGTATGCAGGAGTAACACATTTTCTAAATGAATTGGCTGAAAAGAAAAATGCTACAGTTGCTGAAAAACTGATTTTACCATCATCTTTTCCCGGATCAACGAGATATTTCACTGAACACTTTGAAGACGCTATGGCAATTGTCCGAAGGTTTGGCTCTCCAGACTTTTTTATCACAATAACGTGCAGTCCAACATGGCCAGAACTAAAAGAAGCTGCATGTATTGAGCTCTCTGATGGTTCTAAACTACAACAGTTCGCCCAAGAAAGACCTGACATTGTGGCTAGGGTAGCCAAATTGAAATTTGACAGCATAGTTGAAGATATCAGTAAGAAACAGATTTTTGGGAAGTCTTCTGCTTTTGTTTACACTATAGAATTTCAAAAACGAGGATTACCCCACCTACATCTTCTTGTCATCATGGCAAATGAAGACAAACTCCGGTCTCCAGAGGAAGTAGACACTTTCATTTCGGCAGAAATTCCTAATGATGACCCAGTTCTAAGGGAGTTGGTCCTCAAATGGATGATTCACAATCCATGTGGCGAACTTAATCAGTCTGCATCATGTATGGAGAATAAGGGTGGATCAGCTAAATGCCGCTTTGGATTCCCCAAAGCTCATCAAGAGTTTACGTCAATTGTTGACAACAAAAAACCGAATTATAAGAGACGGTATGACCCACAACTGGATCCAAATAACCCAGAATTTTCTCACGTCCATGCGGTGTACCGCAAAAACAGTGATGGACAAAAAGTTACACGGGACAATAGACATGTTGCTCCATACAATGGCTATTTACTGAAGAAATACATGTGTCACATAAATATCGAGTATGTTGGTAGTGTTAGAGCCGTTAAGTACCTCTATAAATACATTTATAAAGGGCATGACTGCGCAAATGTAAAAATTGTTGAAAATGTGGCCCGAATAATGTATAATGAAGCAGAAACATTTGTTGAGGCACGTTATATTTCGCCCCCTGAAGCATGTTGGAGGCTGGCTGGAAATGAAATCCAAAGGAAAAGCCATTCGGTGCAACGTTTGGACATCCATCTAGAAGGTCAGTACCGTGTGGGAAACATGGAACAGACACAAGAAGATGTAGCGGACACTGGCCTGAAAGGGTCCACCTTAGAGGCGTACTTTAAACACAACTCTAAACTTCACATAGAAGAAGAGAATGGGAATGAAGTAACCTACTACTTCTACTGGCAGATGCCAGAAAAGTACAAATGGTTAGGCAAAACAAGTGAATGGGTGGTACGACAGCGAAGCTCAAAAACTATTGGAAGGATCCACACCGTGAACTTAGTGGCCCAACCTGAACTTTATCACTTGAGAATGCTCCTCTTTCATACCAAAGATGCCAAAAGTTTTGAAGACCTTAAATTTGTAAATGGGACTGCCTATTCCACTTATAAACAAGCATGCCTGGCAAAAGGCCTTACATATGATGACCAGCAATGGATTGATGGGCTGCGGGAATCCGCTTTGTCAAAGATGCCGAGTGTCATGAGGACACTCTTTTGTCAAATCTTGATTCTCGGATCACCAGAAAACCCTAAACGTCTCTGGGATATGTTTAAGGACGAGTTGGCAGAAGATTTTCTTAGAGAAGCAGAGATTTCTGGAACCCCTCTAGAAGATGCTTACAACAGAGCATATAGAATCATAGCTTACAAGCTAAATACTGAAGCTACAGAAGGTAATAATCAACTTATAAATATTACTTATTACAAAACTTAAATTAAGTTTATTTTGGGTGTATACCCCTTCAAAATTTGTAATATATTTATTTATATTTTATTTTAAATGATAATATCTTTCTCTTAAACTGACAGCGAGTAGGTTAGCCATGCCAATGGTCGATGAATGTTGTCTATTGGTCTACCAAAGTTAAATATCAATCTTTAGTGAATTCCTTCAACATATCATACATAATACCATATCAATATTCAATTATTTTAATGTCTTTAAAAGTCATTTCAAAATAATTAACAAAGATGGTCTAATACAGTCCTTACTATTATTTATTAATCACAAATTTATAAAAAACAGATGATTTCAGAATCAAACCTTTGCAGATATTTTTATAACAGTCTTTAAAAACTAACCTAAAATATGTTAATTTAATATAAAAAAAAGGGTTGGAAATTAGCGTGTGTTTTAAATAAGAGAGCACAAACCCCATTTAATCATATTATTCACTCATGAATAATACATTCATGACACACATTATTCTAACCATTGTTGTAAACAGTACTTTAATTTGGGAGATATCGACCTTGAAACATACATAATTGCGGATCTTCCAGCAAAATAAATCGTCTTAATAACAAACATTTTGAGCCTTTGGGTGGTGATTGATCACCTATAATTACTCCCAATTATTTACCCAAATTCTTTCAGCTTTATTAACTTATCGTTATTTGTGATGTGTTCCAAAAACTTTAATGACACTTTTTAGAAATTTTTAACACTTAAACGTGCTTATTTTAGGACGCAACTTCCGTTTTTGGGTAGAGAACTATGGAATGGATGATATTAACGACTTCGAGATGAATGAGGAGGTTTTTAACGTAGGGCAATCTCATGAAATTGGCCATCGCCTCTACAACAACCTCAATGATAAACAGAAGGAATTTGTTGATGCTGTCATCCAAACACTTGATGATGAGAGTTCAGGTACAGTACACTGTTTATAAACTGAGAAATTCAGGTGCGAGAATACCTAGGATACCACTAATAGCATTGAACATATGTTTTAGCAATTCCATTTAACCAATGTTAAATAATGTTTATTTTCGGGCCAAAAACGTCATTTGTTGATGTTTATGATCCATACCGGGTATTTTTCTAGTAATTGTGTAGGATACCAATAACCTTGAATAATAGGGAGGTTACTTCAATATTTAGAACAGTATGTTTTGAAACTATTTAAATAATGGTCAAGCCTTTTTTTATTTACAAGTAAATGACATAGTTAGTTATCAAAATACAGTTTCAGTTTTGAAATAAAACATATGGTTTACACATATTATTTGTTGCAAAAAAAAGAACAAAAAAAACAGAATCCTACTGCATCAGCTTTTAGAAACCCGCAGACTTGGATAATATAAGCTAGGATAATAATGAAGTTAACTGTAAATTGTACATTTTTGTTTTTAATCAATGTCATCTGATTAAATTCATTTTTTAGCTTCAATTTTGTATACTATCTTTCTTTATACTATTCAAACAATGTCACCAGTTTTAAAATCCTGACTGTAACAAAACATAATGTTGTGATAGTACACATGAATTGATTTGTTTTCAGGACCAAAATGTTTCTTCCTTGATGGACCTGGAGGTACAGGGAAAACATTTGTCTACAATACCTTGTACCACCTCTGCCGAAGTCGAAACATCATTGTTAAATGCATGGCATTTACAGGCATTGCATCCATACTTCTGCCAGAAGGACGCACAACCCACAAGACATTTGGTCTTAAAGTTCCTTTGACTAATGATTCAAAATCATCAATCAAACGTGGATCTTCAAAATTCAAGGAATTGGAAGCAGTCAACATGTTCATGATGGATGAAGCACCAATGCTTCCTAAATACGGTCTTGACTGCATGGACGAGCTCCTTCGTGATCTAGGTGACAGGAACTCCCCATTTGGCGGGAAAATAATGATTTTAGGAGGAGATTTTCGACAGTGTCTACCGGTCCAGCCAAGGGCAAATCGTACCGAACTTCTAGACCTTTCCATCAAGAAAAGTGTTCTCTGGAGGTACTTCAGGGTTTTCTCTCTGGAACAAAATATGAGAGTTGATGCGGAAGAGGAGTGCTTTGCTAGGTACCTACTGAAACTTGGAAATGGAGAGCTTGATACCAACGCTGATAGTGAAATTGAACTCCCTAATGACATCATCACTAATACTAATGACATTGTTAACGAGATCTATGGAGAATGTCTCTCCGACGGAAACTTTGAGGACATGAAGGATCGAGCAATTCTTGCACCCCTAAACAAGGACGTCGACACAATTAACAACACCGTTATCAATTTAATTCCTGGAACCGAGACCATTTATAAAAGTTACGATTCAATTAAAGATGAACCAGAAGGTGCCTTAAAGTTCCCCCCAGAATTCCTAAACTCTATCGAGATTTCAGACCTACCACCACACCAGCTCAGGCTAAAAAGTAATACCATTATCATGCTCCTTCGTAACCTTGACGTCTCAGAGGGTCTGTGCAATGGCACTAGACTGATAGTTACAGCACTCTGTCCTAACATAATAAAAGCCAAGATCATCACTGGTGAACACTCTGGCCGAGACGTGCACATACCGAAAATCACCCTTGATTCATGCAAGTCTCAGCTAGGGTGTTCACTACAAAGACACCAATTCCCTATTCGGCCAGCCTTTGCGATGACAATACATAAATCGCAAGGGCAAACATTTAAATATGTCGGCGTCGTGCTACAAACGCCTGTATTCATGCATGGCATGCTATACGTTGCATTTTCAAGGGTAAAGCGTAGAAGTGCATTGAAAGTGGTGGTACCGCCAGAAACAGGTGGTCGTACACGCAACGTAGTGTGGACCGAAGTTTTTAATTGATGTGGTTCGTGCATTTGAGAAAAGACTTTTGTTATATTATGAAATTCTATTTTTCTTGAACTATTTTTTATTTGTTTTGTTGTAAACATTTTCTTTGATAGTTAGTTTTATTGAAGGTATGCATTGTACTGTATCAGATGCAGGCAAGTTCTTTACTTGCTCTGCTCTTTAGGGATACTTTAAATGTATTGAAATATTTTGGAATATTTCATTTTTATATAATAATCTTATATTCTTATGTGAGCAATGTTTGCTTGCAGATCAAAAACAGCAAGGTCAAAGGTCGGGGTACCGCAGGGTTCGGTTATGGGCCACATTTGTTTTTAATTTTAATTAATGACATTAGTTTCAATTTAAATTGTAAGTCAACAATTTATGCTGATGACACCTCTTTACTTGTTAGCCATAGAGATTTAGATTGTATGGAAAATGTTGCCAATTCTGTTTTTAAAGATGCTGAAGAATGGTTTACAGTAAATGGATTGTTTTTAAATTCTAAAAAACACAGAGAATATTGGTGACCTTGAAAAAGAATCATGAATACCATCAATTTGTTCACTATAATGAAAATTTTGTATCATTACTTGGTATAAAAGTAGACTGTAAGCGGTCATAGTCTGACCATATTAATTTTGTAAATAATAAATTGCCCAGAGTTGTACATTTGTTAATAAATCTAAAAAGACATGTTTCCAGTAAATACTTGAAAATGGCATATTTTGCTTTTTATGAAAGTGTTATCTGGTGGATAATCTGGAGTAACGGAGTTGGAATTAAAAAAAAATTTAATCAAACAAAAAAAAGCTGTTAGAGTTTTGCCGGACTCAGAAAGGTTAGCCCGCTCCAGGCCACTTTTTGTCTCATCGGGGACCCTGACTATTGTACACTAAGTTGTATATTTTAGAGGTATTGATGTTTGTCAAAATTAATTTAAATATGTTTTCTGTCAGAGAAAAAATACATGATCATGTAATCAGATTTAGGAATAAATTAGATCAACAAAGGTTTAGGTTAAGTAAATCAATGAATTATCATGTTAATTTAGGTGTAACATTTTTCAACAAGTTACCATTGACTTTTCAGAGTTTGCTTAAAAAAGCACTAAATAGATTGTATAATTGGTTACAATTGAACCCATTTTATACATTGGATGAATTTTTAAATATTAAAATAGAGTCTTCAAGCCTAGCCCAATTTTAGATTTTAAACATTACATGGTTTTTTGTGATGTTAGCTCAATTTAATGTTGCTTGTTTATCAATGTGAATCATATACAACTGTTTATTGAAAAATTTTGTAATTTTGTTGAATGTCTAATAAATGTCTTATTATTTGTCTTATTTGCTTGTATGTATAATTTCACAAAGTACTTGAAAACGGCTTTGACAACAGCCTTTAAATGTTGGAAATAATTTATTTCTAGCCTAAAAACGTAATTGACGACCACCAACATCTAAGGCAAATTCGCATTTCACTATACAACTCAATATAACAATATACAATTTAACATTTGCCACATGGGCTGCTAAGTAGTTATGTTGGTTGAACAAAATAATAAGTAAAAAGAAAAACAAAAGACTTGTAACATATTGTGTTTATAATAAGCCAACCACAATATACTACAATTTACAGTACAAAGGGGGAAACATCATGTCACTATTGAGCAAAGATTACACTAATTTATCTATATAGGGGATATTTTCCCTTATATATTGATTAATTTTCAGTATAATCTTTGCTCAATAGTAATAATTGAAGTTCCTCTATATGAGGTTTTTTCCATTGACTGTAAAATAAAATAATTTGTTGTGGATTGTCAGGTTAAATTTTCCATCATAATAAATGGAAATTCCACTTGAAGTTAAATAATTTTTTTTTTTTTTTTTTTTTTTTATCAGAATTTATTTTACAATCTGTTCAAACTTCAAATATGAGAACAATAAGTAAAACATATATCAAGCAATGTCAGGAAGCAAGCACCTGTTCATCAACAAGTCTTGCCAAAAATTTGATCAGTCATTTAAACATTTACAGAAATCTGTAGCTTAGGTCCAGCACATGCACAACACTTTTTAACCTGTTAATGCACTGACTATTGTCCAGCAGATTAACAGCAAGACTGTTCGGATGATATTCTAATTTTTCTTGATAATTTTTGCTAAGGTCTGTAATTTCTTCTTTCACTGATTTAATTTTGAAGTCATTCCTAATTGTAGTGTTGGATACGAACCAGGGTGCGCCAATAATTCTTCTCAGTGCCTTAGCCTGAAATCGTTCAAGAATTTCGATGTTGGATTTGCTCGAGGTCCCCCAAAGTTGAATTCCGTATGTCCAAATTGGTTTGATCATAACTTTATACAGTAAAATTTTGTTAGCCAATGATAATTTTGAATTCGTACCTAGTAGCCAATTGAGTTTACGAAGTTTTAATTCCAATTGCTGTCTCTTGCACCAGATATGAGATTTCCAATTTAATTTTTTGTCAAGAGTTAGACCTAAATATTTTACACTGTCTGCCTCCGTTAAGGCTACATTATTAATGTTTACAGGAGGATTGTACCCTGTTCTCAGAGTAAAAACAATATGTTTGGACTTGTTTTCGTTGACTTTTATCCTCCACTTTTTAAGCCAATACTGGAGTTCAGTCAAGGCAGCTTAGTTGTAAATAAGACTTGATATTGTGAAATCCGTGGATAAGTTAAAGTCATATTGTGGTTAACCTGATAATAATAAAACACAGCTGGCCTAAAGATATTGCTTTAGCAACACTTAAGTTGCCTTTATATTGCTTTTACAATCGAAATCAACTATACCGAGCCATGGCTCGGTCCCCCGGTACTTAAATCTAAAGTTCTGCTGGATCGATGTTGTTAAATAATGTGTCTTTGGAAGGCATAAACTCTTTGAGTTGCTTTTTCGTTTGATGTGTATTTTATAGCGGTTAGTTTAATAGTATAAAAGTTATAAAGCGTTAAAACCCGGCCATTCCTTATGAAACACCCGGTATATTGATAAGTTCTTTACAAGGTAATATGCCTTTTTGGCGTTTTTTGTTGCTATGTTATTTTTAACAATATCAGTTATGTGAGCCTTTTCAGAATGCACAACTTGAGAATTAATGAACTAGTAACAGGATCACGATGAACAAATGATTCTACGTGAAACGTGATGTAAGGGCTGCAAAGCTCGAGGGATTTTCTTGACAAATTACCCTCTGCAGGCAGTAATAGACTGGCTTTCTTTCCACCTCTCGGAACTTTCTGGATTTTTTGTCACCGCTAAGCGGGCATAACTCAAAGTACATTTCTGGGTTTCTTTTGTTTAAATGTAGACTTATTAAGTTACTAGTCCTGAAAATAAGTGCTTGGTGGACGAATGTGGTCGTCCCCGTGCGAGACGAAGTCTAGGATATTTTACGCCATACTACTCTAGGCCCCGGCCACACGAGGCGGTTTAACCGCGCGAAGTTAAGCCGCGCGAAGTTAAGAGGATCGACAACACATTGAATCAAATGAGAGTGGCCACACTAGGCGAAGTTTAGCCGCATGTACGGTTGAGCCGCGCCATGTCGTCCCTCGACCGCGCGAAGTTAAGCCGCGTTGGAGGGGATGACACACGTAGTCTTATGAGAGTGGCCACACGATACGGTTCGACCGCGCGGCAGCCGCGCTTATTGGAGATATTCTTCGGACATTACCAGGGGTTTTTTAGTTTGATTTGCGTGTTTGTTAACGCTTGTGTGGTGTTCAAACAATGATTGATACAGACAATCTAATTGAACTTGTCAAAGATGCTACAGACATACGGTAATAACAAAAAACTCCGAACTATGGTTTCACATGTGCTCGTAAAAGGTTTGGAACACAAATGGTTTTTCCGTTATGAAAGGATGAACCCAATGATTTCTGTTAACATTTGTGTCCAGATCACCACACACTTCTAATGCACAAACTAACATGCGCGTTTCGTACATGACTAAAAAGAGTGAACTGAACTATGTTTTAATAGAGTACTGATACTGGGAAAACCCAACAGGAAGCGGCCGTGTGGCCGGTTACCTCCCGCTTTCTCCGCGTCCCGCCATCTCCGTGTACCGCTACCTCCGAATTTCAGAGTGACCCCTATAATCCTCGGTTACTTCCTGCGTTAAGACTTTCCGTCCAAACCTAACCTAACCTAACTTAACTTAACTTAACCTAACCTTACCTAACATAACCTAACCTAACCTGACCTGACCTAACCTAACCTAACCCACGGGTTAAATTTTCATTAAATCTTCCATCCACGGGGCTTCGCAGCCGTGGATGCAATGACAGCTAAAACGCAGGCAGTGACTGGATTATAAGGGTCACTCAAGAATTCGGAGGTGGCGGGACAGATTTGGGTTCGGAGATGGTGGAACGCGGAGATAGTGGTGTGGCCAGGTACAACTTCGCGCGGCTTAACTTCGCGCGAAGATAAGCCGCGCGGCTTAAATTCGCCTCGTGTGGCCGGGGCCTAAGCTAACTTAACAATAAAAAACCTGTAAAACACCTTATATATTTCCACCGACTACAGGACTAGCAGTCACTACTCATACCTCTAAGAGAGGTTATGTTTTTGTTTATAACCGCCCGCTGCCAAATATAATCAGCTAGTGTCCGGTAAAAACTCACAATACAGTATTACGTAATGAACCCCCATTTGATTGAGCTAGCGGCAAACAGCAGTTTTAT